AATTTTCTGCTGTTTTCATTGGTTCAGCCCTAAATGACATGTCTTCCAAATATTTGAGAAGTTACGGAAAGGTTTTATCATTATCCTAGCTTCTGATATCTTGCGCGTTAAGTGATGATTGGGAAAAATGACTCAAGTATGAGAACTGTCGTTCCTTTACAAACCCAAAGTTTCCGGAACTTATTTTTTGTTTGATTTGTTTAAAAGGGAACCTACCTACATAATTATTACCTAGTTTTGATCACCTGACTCGTTTTAACTCATAAAAATAACTAGAAACAACTAGTTTAAAACTAGGGGCTTAACTGTGCTGTAAGGCCTTAACGCCTTTGCATTTTTACATGTGTTTCGCATGGGCTTTTAGGTGTAAAATCGAAAAGCGACCGTGTAGAGTCAGAATGTTACTATAGAGCATTATAATTATGAAATTCGTAATCTACGTTAAAAACTGAATCTGGCAATGTAGCATTCGTTACTGTAGCACCTAGTACCCAGGGTACCCAGGGTACTAGGTGCTACAAAATGTTTCGAAATGTCTAATTCTTACAGTTGCAAATATTTTTGTTTGGAGCCTTGCATCCTCGAAGAGTCTTGTGTAGTGCTTCCCTTGGCAAAATTTGATTTCGCTGCACGCGCGCAATCCGGTGAACGGGCGGCAATAATGCTTTTCGAGGGGGTGGGAGCTGGAACATTTATCCACCCTCTGCCCAACATCAGTTGACATATCGAAAAAAATCCCGTCGGGGCCATGCGAGGGGCCGAAAGGAGAATCGACTAGCGTAGAAAAATCGAAATTCCCTGTGGGTCACTTGTTGAGTAAGCGCGGACAGCGCCAGGTCTGCGGCTCTTACACCTAACACGGGTTAATCAAGGAGTAGTGCCTTCTGACTAAACGTATATTATTGTGCCCAAGCCCATTGGAACTGTCGAGGAAAAGTGTTCCTCGCTAAGGGTTTTGCTTGTGAAACTGTTGCGGCTGATGCGTGTGTTGCGCGTTCACGATCACGCAGCTGCAAACGTTTTTTAGGGGTTACCTGGCATCAGGGCATAAGTTCCAAAAAAAGTCATTTTTTTCGGTCTAATTTCGGTCCTATTTCCAAATGCGCTAGTCTTTGCGCGCCATAATACTCTTTAACAAAAATGTTGTGTTTTCTTACTTATATCGAGTCATATCATCACCAGTGATTTGTGCAGCACCAAGCACACACCTCGGAAGCCCGCCCACGCCAGCTGCGCAGCGCATGGCACCCACGACCAGGCCACGCTGTCGCGGGCTGCGCTCCAACCAGGGCCCGAACCCCGCGAGCTCAGCCACCTGTAGCCGTGAGGCTGCGAGGTCGTCGCCCGCCTCGAAGAGTGGCACGAACACCGAGAGGATGGGCACTCCGCCAACGAAGTCAAAAGGGTTGAAGTCTCCGCTGACGACCATCTGCAATGTTAACTGCTAATCAGTGGCGTCCAGGAAATGCGCGACTGAAGTTGCACGACCCTACAACCTGTTGTGACACAGCTGCTGTTCAGCTTTATGCTACCAAGGAAACGCACATGCAGAGTAGGCCATCTCATTTCGGAGGTACGAAGTACGAATCTCCAATGATAGATTAGACCTAGTAGAGACCCTGTGCGAAGTTTAGGCCCTGTGCGATGTCGTGTACCTGACCCACATCGCAACTTTCTGAGCGTGCTCGAAATTGGCGCGCGGCGACCCACTACATTGTCGGCTGTGCCGCGCTGACACGGTGGGGTCAGAGGCGACGTTTCGGGTCTGAAGTGTGACCCTGTGGGTCCTACTTCACATTCGACATGACGATTCCGATCTCGCAACTGACCGGGCGTCTCCAGGGGCCTAAACGTCGCAATCGACGTTCTCTCATTTTGCGGAAAATAACGTCATTTTTCCGCACCCAGGCATTTTCGTGACGAACAAAAGCGTTCTTTCGGCCCAACCTATAGTTCATTATGCATCACACAGTTGTGCACGTCTGCGAGCGTCGAACAATTCGTGCTGGTCCGTGCTTAACAGCCATAATCTTGCTGCTGTTTGATTCCAAATACAAACCTGCGATGTGGTAATGAGGGGCATAAATACGGTGGCAACAAGGACGTGTGGCAGTAGGTCCGTGATGACCGAATCTATGGCGATTGTGATCTTCAGAACTGCGTTCTGCAATTCCACGGCTTGGACCACAGAGCCGCTTCCCTGCGTGAAGAAAACAAAAAGGTTTCCGTTACTGAAGTATTGAAGCCGCTCACTCACCCAGAAAACCGTTTAATCCAGAGAACCAAATTCAAAACTGCTGAAATTTTGGCTCTAACTTATCTGTGGTTATGAAACAATTTAGACTAGCTGACTTAGTTTGATTGGTGCGACCATAATTAGTGAGTGTGTTGGTGGGTGGGGGGTGGGTACTGGTTTTGGGGAAATGTGAAAATCTAATGCTTCGAGTTCACCATGACAAAAGAAAACGTAAATAAATGTTTTATGCTCCAAGACTATCCGAATCGAGATGGCAGTTAGTGTCCCCCAAATTACAAATGTGGTCGTTTTTGCATACATTTATACCCTATTCAATAAATCTCATTGTTCAGTTAATTAAAGGGTGCATTCTAAATGCACATTAAAATTAATAAACAACGACAACTATACATCAAGGTAAATTAAGTCTCGTGAAAAATGATCTGAGAACGCGTGATTGTCGCCTGTTTCACTGCAAATAGTCGTAATTTTCGCGTATTTGGAACGACACAAGTAACTATTCGTATTCAGTCTTCATATCACTATTGGAATTGGTTAAAGCTTGTATGTCCAAAACATGTGATATTTCATGGAGTTGAAAAATTTATTTTAGAATTATCAAAATTTGTAAATTAATGCAAATCTTGACGCAGTCTACGCAGACAATAAAACCTATTCTCATTTTACTTGTTACTATCAAACACAATTAATTTGCCATCAGTTTCCGTTGAGATTAATGAAATGTTGTGATCTGCTAAATACACCTTAAACACTCTTAACCTAATCTGCTTAGACCTATGTATGGCGCCATGACAGTCGATCCCTCCTGAAAGTCTCTACAATGCTAGCCTATACTCGTCTGATTCCTTTGGTACCCCCACCCTAACAATCAGCCCCTCTTATTCTTGACTTCTTCTTGGAATTCCCTTTATAAGCGGCTCGCACCGACCCCTCAGCGCCCAGTCTTGCGCTGTCTATTGTAGAAGCTACGCTACCTCAATAAACAGTCAAAGTCCCAACCAACTCGCCTCCTTTATCCTTCCACCAGTTCACAACAGAAATAACAACATAATTAAGTACTAAAACAATCAACACCAAATACATTACACAACACTTATTGCTATATATTTACATATAGATATATAATCATAAGTAATAAGTATGACACAATTTAACATTATACAACATGACATAATACATATATATTCATGAAGCTAATACACCTTGATGATATTAAATGACACTTCCTACTTTACATACAAAACCATCAAATTACTTATCATTAGTTTTCAAACATTTTTCCTACTTCCGAAAGTAATTCCTCATTGGCTACGACTGCAATAAAAGAACAAACAATTACATAAGTTGCATCCAATCTAAAAATAATAATGACATCACATTTGAATTAACTACACAAAGCTGTGCCAGGATTATGGATACGACCAATAACCCTTTCAGGGGTGTTTGGATTACTTATGACTCCGTAACAACATGTACTGTAATATTGGCCATGACGAGCAGATTCATAAATACTAGCTATATGTACGCCAGACCACGTCTCGCGTAACAGGCTTCGCGATATCTCACGAAACACTGTTACGCTGCGACGCATAAAGCTAGGCCTGCGGCGCTGACACCCAAGGCGAGTTAATGGGAGGGTGTACGGGAACAGGGCCTTCCGGCACCAAAATTTGACATACTGACAGCATTTGTCGGGGACTAATTACTCCAAAACTAGGGACAGGAAACTACTTCTGTTCGATGAAGGTTTTCATTGGAAGTTCGAATTTTGACATATTGTTATGTAAAAATCAACGTTCTAGCGATACTAGATAAACAAGGGACACTTAAGCCCACAGGAAGGTGTGGTACGACCCCTTATGTGTGGTTTAAGTATTACTCCCTTTACAATTCCGTGACATGAAGCCTTTTTTACGATTTAATAGACAATTTTGTCTTTTTCACGTTCTTTTCGCCAATAAATGCTCCATAGCACCGAAACAGTACAAGATAGAGCAAAACGGACAAAATTTTCGCCTGTAGTGTTCTACTTTCACGAATTACCCCTTAGGAGCCAATAAAAAAATATTTGAAAAAAAACACATTTTGCGACCTGTGGTTTTTGATTTTTTGGCTGAGCGATTAGCGAAGCCCATTACTCCACTGACCGGAAAAGTTTCATTCTGTTTGTTTGTTTGTCTGTCTGTCTGTCTGTTTGTTTGTTTGTCTGTCCGCACGATAACTCGAGAAAGAATTGAGAGAGCGATCTGGGAATTTCAGGGACGTTTTGTATTATAAAAAGACAGATCGAGTTCGAAGATGAGCATTCTAGCTCAAAAATTTGCTTTTTAAAAAATCAAAAACTACAGGTCGCAAAATGTATTTTTATCAAATATTTGTTTATGCGTTCCTAAGGGGTAAACCGTCAAAGTAGAGCCCTTCGGGCGAAAATTTCGTCCGTTTGGCTCTATCTTGTACCGTTTAGGTGCTAGGGGGCATTTCTTGACAAAAATGAGGAGAAAATGATCAAATGGTCTATTAAATCGTTAACAAAAAAAACTCCATTTCGAAAACTTGTATATACACTCCTATTACCCTGTCTCGGGTGTCAGCGCCGCAGGCCTAGCTATATGTGCGCCAGGCGCGTCGCAGCGTAACAGTGTTTCGTGAGATATCGCGAAGCCTGTTACGCGAGACGTGGTCTGGCGTACATATAGCTAGTTTAAAGCCAATTTTTGAGCTACAATGCTCATCTTCGAACTCGATCTGTCTTTTTATGTTGCAAAACGACCCCGAAATTCCCAGATCGCTCTCTCAATGAGGTATTTTCCAAATTAGAAGAACAAGAGGGATATCGTCTGCTCCCGGACCATCACAAAGCCTGAACCAATCAGAGATGGCCTTTCTAGAGCCGGCCACGAGAGAGGCCGAGAGAGGCTCTCTCTGATTGGACGAGGCTTTGTGATGATCCGGGAGCAGACGATATTCCTATTGTTCTTCTAATTCGGAAAATACCTCATTCTTTCTCGAGTTTTCGTGCGTACAGACAGACAGACAAACAATCAAACAGAATGAAACTTTTCCGGTCAGTGGAGTAATGGGCTTCGCTAATCGCTCAGCCAATCATCCATATGCATCGATACATAATGCCAAATGCAACGTGGCACATATGTTGTGGTTCTCACTGAAGCATCAGTAGATATAACCAATTTGATATTTACAACATGTCTCTGATCAATAATACTAATTTCTTTAAAAGCTTGTTTAATGGGATACAATTGACCCACAACTAAAACCTTGAAAGACACCTCAACCTCAGTTACATTTTGATCCATATCTGCAAATGACACAAATGAAACAGTATAATTTACCAAACCTGTTTAATTTATCATTCAATCCACCCAAACCACATTAACCTAATGTGTCAAAATAAAATCAATACGAACTGATTTCCACGTGTGTCTGGCTGAAACGCGTGAGCCTAAAATTGCTCATACAGCTGCTCAGGATTTTTTCTTCTTGAAAATCTATTCCAGTATGAGATTTCTTATCAATTACATTGTGAATCCGTAATTCTTTCTTAGCATCATTTATGGCTAGTTCATCTGTGTGATTAAACCACCTTCCAGGTTACGAATCCTTACCATCAGGGGTCCGTAACTTAACGCATTAGCGTTATGCGTTAGTTATATAAATTAACGTGGAACGCATTAGCGATATGCGTTAGTTATGTAACGTAACGTCTAACAATTTGCAATAAAAGTTAAGTTTATGGGTCGTCAAAAATTATTGTGGTGCTAGTTGTAGCTGGTTCCGGCATTTTTCGTGTGTCTCTTAACGTTTCATTGTATGGCCACAAGTTATAAGTTATTACTCATAACGTTTCATTGCACGGTCACAAGTTATGAGTTATAACTTTAACTGATAACGATAACGTACCGCTGAAGGGGAATTTCATGTTAAGTTACACACCCCTGCTTACCATTCCTGAAAACTTCCAGAATTTCCTCATCTATTCGCATTTCCTCTGAAGGCTCTCTCAAAGCTGGAAGGGAATTAGAGACATTATCAGAAACGACATTGTTTGTAATATCCTCACAGTCCAGCTGAATTTTTCGTATCATTTCTTGCATACGTTGGCATATGGCTTTACCATTGTGGCACCCTGGAAACGGATGGCACTCCAACGTGAATCTCTCTATTTCAAAATTGTTGTTGATGAAGTGTATGGTAAATGCGAGGAATGACTTGAGTATTTTAGAAGTCCACACATCAGTGGTGAAGCATACTGATTCAAGATCATTCTCTTGAAGTTTCTTCCTCTTACTCAATACATATTGATAATAAAAGTACGGGAGAATGCATGACGACATGGGACGCGATTCCTTGGCTAGATGCATTAAGTTAGTGCATCCCTCTTCGTCAACAACAGAATAAAATTGCAGACTCTTACAAAAAATAAACCAACTGTACTTGTAATATTTTGTTGCTCGCTGTCCTCTAAAATCCAAAGGATACAAAGAACTTTTAATGGGTTTTGTCTTAATGCTTTTAACTGACTTTTTCTTAGCAGACATTTTCTTTGGTCCATCTAATACTTTTGAAATTTTTCATGCTCTTTTAACCTACTTGTATGCCAACGTCAATGGCTAATTAAGGGAGTCGTTGCACCAGTTGGTGTTTCCAGGATTTTATCACAGAATTTACACTTGCCATGGTCCTTTTCTGTCTTGATAAAATAATGCCATATGATGGCATGGGGCACAGGTACCTTCTCCTGGCTTAGTGTGGTGGTGGTGGTGGTGGTGGTTGTATACTCGATATACGGATCTTTCATGGTCTGAGGCCGGCTGAGTTTGTGAAGAGGCGGCGTCACTGGGCTGTCTGAAGCTAAAGCAGAATCGCAAAGACGCCCACCACTCTGGAAGAAGGGCGCCAAGGCTCTTTGTTGCTGTCGCTGCCCT